AACGTCAGAGAGATGCTAAGATCAATTGTAACAAATCAAAATATGGAGAACAGAGCAAATGAAAATGATTTCGAACAATGTCAACAATGAATAGCGAAAGACAGAAAGAAACGACAGATAGCAAAGCACTAACAACAGTATCGAGAAAAACTTCGAGAAAACGAATAAGCAAATTGAGAAAGTTAACAACAACTTGAAGATATATGGCGTTCACGAGGGAATGCATTAATTAAAAATTTAATTAGGGATTGGATTAGAAAGAAGGCTGTGATGGAGTGAGAATAATGTTAAGAATAGGACTTGCGGCCAAATGCCAAAAAAGAATATTTGGATCGTAGGCCTTCGTGACACTTTCATGAAGGGGCCTATTATAGCAACCGTATGTTCATGAAGTCAACAGTGTGGCGCCCATATTCACTGGCATGTAATTAGCCAGAAAAGCTGCTATTTTAAACGTTGAGTTAAAAGTAACTAGGCGGCAAGCATAATTTGTAGTCGCTTCATTCCTACTCACAGAACGCACCTATTTACCGACATCACAAAAATACGTGGTGTCAGTGTGGCTCGAGCCCGAGACCTCTAGGTTTTGAGCCTGACTTTCTATGGACTGAGCGACCTTGGTCCTTAAGGAACAATTAGCATTAAATCAAAATCAGCAGTCAAGAAGAATAAGAACATATCTACCGATGCATTATTATAGCTAACTAGGTGCATTCCTGACTCTACAGAGGAGGTATCCAATGAAAAACCGTATATTTTCTTCTTTTACCCTCTTTTCATAAAGTTGATGGTGTATACTGATGTTCGTTTCAATGCCATCAGCCAGAAATACCTTTTTCCTTAAGGCAAAATCTACAGCCATGTTGCACGCGCAGGATATTCCCACAGAGTGATACCCATTTATCAACTTCCTGAAGGAAAAAGGGCTAGTGAGCTTGACCAGGACTTGAACTTGAACTCAGAAATTATCGGTTGTGAATTCGACGTTCTAACAACTGAGTAACCTCGGTCTGAAGCAATGTGTAGTAAATTTTTTACTCAAGGAAATTCTTGAATAAGAAAGAGCGCCATCAAGCGGAATCGAACCCTGCACCTTAGGTGTTCGTAGTAGACCTCAGACAACTGAGCCAACATATCACATGAAATCATATGGCGGCTGCTCAAAGAATGGATTTTTTTGTATTTCGCTTTGGCATCTAAGACATTTCGCTTTAGGCATTCTTGTACTTCCAACTTGCATCAGAGTCCTTTCGGTTTTCACTAAATGAGGTTTCTTCCTTGTCATGTTGTACATTGCTCGTTTCGTCGATGCAAAGTGAAGAACGTTTGGAAAAAAAATTTTCCAGTTAGTCTCCCGTTAGCTCTCCAGTTTCTTGTTCCACAATTGGCCATATGGCTGTACCATATGAATTTGGTTTGAATACAAGGCTTATGCCAGTGTAGGAAGCAATACCGATATTTCGCTCAGTTGTACAACACATCATAAAGTTAAAAAGATCTTATAATCAAAGGAGC